CGCCTACCCACTTCCCATATGATTTAGTAAAGCCCAGACCTCATGTCCTTCATCCAGCCCTGTTGCCTAAAAGAGCTCACCTTTACCTTTGAACAGATGGTAATCTCCCTGCAGAACACCACCTCGACCAGCCGCTACCTGCGAGTCCTCCCGCCTTCTACTCCGTACTTCTCTCTGGGATTGGGTGAGCCCCGCGTAGCCATTGTCTAGACTGCCTCAGAATTCTGTGGCGGGCCTGCTCCCAGTTCCTGGCCCGCCTGGCCCTCAGATGGCTCCCCTGTCTGTGTCCTGAGCTCAGGTCCACATTCCCCTTAGCCGTCCTGGGGGCCCCTCACACTCTCCTGGCAGCCTGCCTGCTCCTTCCGGTGAGGTCTCTGAGTCCTGACAGCTCCTTTCTCGGCTCACCTGCCTCCAGGTTCTGGCTCTGCCATCTCTTCCCACTTCACGCGGTCACTGCCCTCAGTCAGGGCCTCCTCATCCCTCACTTAAACCATTACAGTGGCTCTCCGTGTCACAAGGTTTTCTCAAGAACAACTCTTATCGTGTCACCCCAGCTCAGAAATCTCAGATGTCTCTCTGCTGCCCACAGAATAAATTCTAAGCCATAGAGCCAGGCAGGTCCCACCTACCTTTTCTAGATGGACCGTATCACTCCCCGCTGGGCCCTGGTATTTTTACCTGGAGTCTCTGCCCTCACAGCCTGCTTTCCTCCTGCGCCCTGTGGTTCTGCCATCAGCGTGGCCTTGGCCCAGAAGGCATTCACTCATAGAGCCAGCCCCTGCTGTGGTGGGATCTACCCATGCCCTCTGGTTGCCCTCTGTAGCACTTGAGCCTGAGCCCTGGTGGCTGCCTGGTCCCCCCAGATCCTCATTTGTCACTTTTGTCGTGTATAGGGATGTTCCCTGGAGAAGGTGGAATGGTGGCTCCTGGAATGACCTGCCAGTATGTTGTCCAGTTTTTACCCGACTGCCTTGGGGATTTTGATGATTTTATTATAGTCGAGACCCAGTCAGCCCACACACTTCTGATTCCCCTGCAGGCCCGGAGGCTGCCCCCAGTGCTGACGCGTGAGTGTGTGCTCTGCCTTGCTGGGGATTCAGTTAGGGCTGGCGAGTCCCTATAAGAACTGCGTGCTCTCAGGGCCTCTTTGTGGCAGCACACAGCTTGTCAGCGGCTCCTGGGTCCTGAGGAGGGACCTGCTGGCAGCTTCTGCATAGCCTTCCACAGTGCCCCGATTGTCCAGCTTCTCAGGGGAGGCTGACTGAATTTCTACAGCAGGGGAGGAGGCCAGCAGCCCAGCTAACCCCCCAGCACAGGCTTTGCTGGCTCATGAACACCCCTGAGTGTGCCTGTGCCACACTGAGACAGGGAAAAGAGTGCCTGGCAGCAGATGTTGCCCTGTGGCTGTGGGGGAGAGCTTCTTTGGGAAAGCTGGCTTTGGCTGTGCTCCCTCAGTTACAAGCCTCTTACTGGCTGGAAGTCGCGACTCTGACCACACCCTCCAGGGCCATACCGGGTGGTCCTGGCTGAGGCCTGAGTGCACAGTGGGTGTGGATTCCTGCTGCTCTAGCCAGGAGTATATAGAGTCGCATGGCACTGCTCAGGGTGCTAGGTGGGGGCCCCTGGGCCCTTCCACAGCTGCTCTGAGCTCTGGTTGACACTCAGGAGAACAATGACAGTAGGACTGGTTCAGAGCGACTTGTTAGCAATGTGTTATTTGTCTTGCCCCTCCTTTCCTGTGGCTGCAGTGTCGCCAGTGTTGGACTGTGGTTACTGCCTCATTGGGGGAATCAAGGTGACCAGATTCCTCTGCAAAAATGTGGGCTTCAGCATCGGCAAGTTCTGTGTTATGCCAAAAAAGAGCTGGCCACCGCCAAGTTTCAGGGTGAGTGATCACAGATTGCTACCTAGAGAAAGAGTAGACCCATCAAAGGAAATAACCCCCTGTGAGGGACTTGCTGGGGTGCATCTCTAGCTGGGAACACACAGAAAACAGAATTTTATAACCGCTCTGTCCAACTGCCACAATGCAAATGACAACGAAAGTCAGTACATTTGGAGACGAGCGCTACAGTTCTGGTTATGCCACTAATATGTGCATGACCCTGGGCAAGTCGTATCGCCTTCCTTATCCTTCAAGGCCTGGATCAATGTCACTGCGTTGATTCATTCAGTCAGTCATTACTGTAGCAAATGTTTGAATAGACCAGAGGTCACAAACTGGCAGTTCTCTGGCTTTATTCTGTGGGTATGTTTATTTGGCACAGTGCTTTAAAAACATGTTTTTGAGCTAACATTTACAAATAGGGAGATTGCACATCAAAATCTGCATTTCTAAGCTCTGGAAAATTTGGAAGATGTGCCGCCTTGGGCCGGGATTCATGGTGGCCCTGTTGGCTGGAGTGGGTAGCAGCGCATGCGCACAGTCTCTCCTGTTTGCCCGCCCAGCAGTCTCCATAGCAGCTGCGTGCTAACACCACTGGTTATCATGCTCACACCATTGTTTTTCTTATAATAGAGCTGGTTCTCTGTGCCTGTGTCTCAGGAAAACAAACGATAGACCCAGAGGACCCTGTGTCCCAAGAGACACATTTCATTCATTTCTGTTACCTGCAGGCTCCTGTAGGCATGGGGGTGTGTCCCTGGCGTGCTCAGCGGTGTCCTGTATAGGCACCTGGGCTGCAGCTCTGCTGACAAGATGGCAGCTGCCCTCACGACTCAGGAGCTGATAGCCAGGGGTTGGGATGGAGGCAGACACGTAAGCTGGCACCAGCCACATAGGGAGCGGCAGGAGGGCAAGGACCGTGCTTTGGGAGCCCACCTCCTGGGCGAGGCCTTCTCTCTCGCCTCCTGCGCGGTGTCTGGAACACTTGTCAGTGGAATTCCTTGTACCTCCTACCAGCGGTCAGCTCTTTACAGACGCTCTGCAACTAACTGGCCTTTAACCTTCAGAACCTCACCTGGTGCCTGGTGAAGGTTGAGTGAGGGTTTGCTGAATGATGAGCCTCACTTTGTTCATCAACGGGGAACTAGATGATCCCTAAGATCCTTCACATTGTGAAATGGGTGTTTGGAGGAGAGAAGTTTGTAACCTGAGCACTGGATGTTACAGTGTCTTCTGCTTTTCTTTAAGGCTGTAGCAACCGTTGGCTTTGTTGAGCAACCTCCGTTTGCGATCCTGCCTTCCGTGTTTGAGCTGGCTCCAGGGAAGGCCATATTAATGGAGGTAGGCGATGAGATGTTAGCATAGATAATAGTTCCTCTTCCTCATGACCGGTCATGGCTATTTCCTCAACTACTTGCATCATGTCATTTGCCTGTGTTTTCATGAGCCAACTATCCACTTCCATCCCAGGTCCCGGCCTTAGTGTTTTCGGTGGGGGAGCATGCTCTGTGGGGTGCTGTCATTTGGCTCTCTTACCACCTCTTTCACAAGCAAGCACAGAAAGCCTAGCATTTCTGTCATAACCCCTAAACCTTGCTTGTCCACACTGTTAGCCTGGGAGTCATCTCCACGAGCATCTACGCTGCCTCCAGGAACTTCCCTTGGTTCTGCAACCTCTCTTGGACACCCCTCCACCCGGTCTGGTACCCGGATGATGACAGTGGCTTTGTTCTCGCTTTCTTGTTTCATCCTCAGTTACATAGTCCGCAAGCTCGCCTTCCTGAGGCCTTACTCTGAACTCCCACAGAAGCTCTCAGAGCCTGGCCCACTGTCTGTGGGCTTCTCTTTTCCCAACTGGCCCCTTCCAAAGTGGTCCCTGTGGCTTGTCACACCTTGCTCATCGGTCCCCAGAAAAGCCTATGAAAAATGGTGACGTCTTCCTGTCCCTGTTGCCCTCCTTGACTCCTTGTCCCGTGAGTCTGACTATGCTGTCTTGTGGCTGCATGTGGGGCTGGCACAGGCATGTGTGGCCTTCCTCACTAGCCTGCTGAGGGAGACACTGACATTCAAGAGTAAAAGCTGTCTGGTTTCTGAGCAGGGGGTTTGACCTGCACCATGTCATTGGGTAGCGAGAGCCAAATGCCTTAGGTTCTCAAAACTCGGCTGAATGTTGCCATCCGCTGAGAGACTTGCTAACACACTGATGTCCGGGCCCCAGCCCTGGGGTGTGGCCTGGGCACAGGAATTGTAAAGCTTTCCAGGTGATTCGGGTGTGCAGCAAAGCTTGAGGACCACTGCAATAGCGCCTTTACTATGGGGTAACAGAGGGCTTCCTGTATCTTTCCAGTTTCAAGTGACAGATGAGGTCTTGTTCTGGAGCTCTGAGGCCATGCTGACTTGTTCTTGGCTGTGCTAATGATTCCCCCATAAAAACCTGGCCCTTGGGGTTGAGACAGGGCCAACTCAGGGGCATAGTGAGGCTTTATCAGTCCATGTCTACTACTGAGGGGCGGGTTGGGTTCTCTTGGCATAGCCCAGGCCTTGTCAGAGACTTGTTGTGGCTTTAAGGAATGGGGGCTGGTCACTCCTGACCAGGCTAGAATGTCCCCCCTCACCCCATCCTCCTATGATCCCCAAGGAAAAGAAAAGAGCGACAGCCGGAGGAATCTGTCGGGGAACAGTGAGGAAGTCGGGGAGGTTTTCCCCTTGTGCATTCCTTATGTATTTTGTTTATTAATTGTTTGGGGGTTTTGTTTGTTTTAAAATGTATTCATATTTCCAAATAAGAAATAAATCCACGTTTAAAATTTCAAAAGACACAAATAGATAAACAGTACAATGTTTCCTTTTACCCCAGTTCCTCAGCCATCCACAGGCCACAACCTTACCAGGTTTCTGCATGCTCTCCCAGAGATATGTGATGCTTAATGCAAATGCGCATGTTTTTTTCTTTCCTCTGTTTCCGTTTTTCCTTCACACAAATTGTTGCCTACTCTGTACTCTGTTCTGTACCATGTGTTTGCCACCTAATGCTATATCTTAGAGATCATTCTCATCTTTTTTATAGCTGCATAGTTTTCCACTGTGTGAATGAACCATAATTTAGTTCAGCCATTTTCTCCTGATGGATGTGAAGATTTTTTTTCTCATTTCTGGCTGTTTCCGCGAATAACTCATACATACATCAGCCTGTCCAAATATGAGTCTGCCTGCAGGATACAGTCCTTGAAGTAGAGTCGGTGACTCAGGGGTCTCTGCTCATAATTGTNGGAGCCAGTGTAATATTCCACAAAATAGAAGCAAAAGATGTGTACATGCATTGAGCTCCTCTTCTGTGTGAGGCACTGTGCCGGGTGCCCTGTGAGCCCCAGGACCTCCCAATCTGAGGGAGGGAGAACAGAAGTCAGGGCTTAATGGGGGCTGGAGGAGTTGAGAGAAGAAGAGAGACCCAATTAAAACCCTGGCACACCGGTGCCCATAACACCCCTCAACTGGACTCCTGGGAAGAATGGGCCCCAATGGATATGTGGGGAAGAAGACAGTAAGAGGTGGGGTGGGAGCCAGACGTCCTGGGTTCAAATCTCAACCCTGATACTCAGCAGCCAAAGAGTCTCTTTGATCATAATTTCTTTGTTTTTCAACTACAGTGGACATACAATGTTACATTAGTTTCAGGTGTACAATATAGTGATTAGACATTTATATGAAGTGGTCACCCCAATAAATCTAATACCCTTCTGACACCATACATAAATAGGAGCCTCTCTGAACTTGAGTGTCTTCAGTGGAAAATAGAGATAGTTCCCAACTTTCCTGGTTATTGCGAGGTTGTACAGGCACATGCTCCATAAACCACTGTTATTTTAAACGGACAGAGACTAGGTCAGATCTGTTCATGTTCACCTTGTATTTTATTTTTGTTCCAAGAAGAAACAAAAGTAGAGAGATTAGCATAATGACTCCCCATGTACCCGTCACCCAGCTTAACAGTTACCAACATGTGGCCAAGCTTATTTCATTTATACGCCTACCCACTTCCCATATGATTTAGTAAAGCCCAGACCTCATGTCCTTCATCCAGCCCTGTTGCCTAAAAGAGCTCACCTTTACCTTTGAACAGATGGTAATCTCCCTGCAGAACACCACCTCGACCAGCCGCTACCTGCGAGTCCTCCCGCCTTCTACTCCGTACTTCTCTCTGGGATTGGGTGAGCCCCGCGTAGCCATTGTCTAGACTGCCTCAGAATTCTGTGGCGGGCCTGCTCCCAGTTCCTGGCCCGCCTGGCCCTCAGATGGCTCCCCTGTCTGTGTCCTGAGCTCAGGTCCACATTCCCCTTAGCCGTCCTGGGGGCCCCTCACACTCTCCTGGCAGCCTGCCTGCTCCTTCCGGTGAGGTCTCTGAGTCCTGACAGCTCCTTTCTCGGCTCACCTGCCTCCAGGTTCTGGCTCTGCCATCTCTTCCCACTTCACGCGGTCACTGCCCTCAGTCAGGGCCTCCTCATCCCTCACTTAAACCATTACAGTGGCTCTCCGTGTCACAAGGTTTTCTCAAGAACAACTCTTATCGTGTCACCCCAGCTCAGAAATCTCAGATGTCTCTCTGCTGCCCACAGAATAAATTCTAAGCCATAGAGCCAGGCAGGTCCCACCTACCTTTTCTAGATGGACCGTATCACTCCCCGCTGGGCCCTGGTATTTTTACCTGGAGTCTCTGCCCTCACAGCCTGCTTTCCTCCTGCGCCCTGTGGTTCTGCCATCAGCGTGGCCTTGGCCCAGAAGGCATTCACTCATAGAGCCAGCCCCTGCTGTGGTGGGATCTACCCATGCCCTCTGGTTGCCCT